CAGGAAACTGTTTGGGGAAAAACAAGTTGGATTCCCAATCAAAAGAATTCAAAACACATGAAAGGTTGTGGTCTGCTTGAGAGTTGCCGCACTGTCCTCCCTGAACGTGCACGAGCTCACGCATGGCTGGAGGTTGAAAGCGAACGAACGTGCGGACTGCTTAGAGTATGCTTGAGGGCTCGTGACACCGCGAGAGAAATTGTCGAGATGCCAAAGCAACAAATGCACCTACTTTGCAGAAAAAACACAGCAGCAAATGACTGGTAAAATTCAATGCTGGGAAAAGCCATTGCCCACGCCAGCTGATGCCTACTGTACTTTGTTTGGGGAAAGTATTTGATCCCTCTGGAAGTCTACTCAGTTACGCAACTTCACCAAGTAGCAAGTGCTCCATCAATGTGCGTTTCAATTGGCACAAAAAAAGCCACTGAGTTGTAACCCCTCACTCTGCTCGCATGCAGCAACCGCGGCCAACCCCAATGCTTTCTGTGTTGGCATTTTACCCCACTTCAGACTGCTTGTGGCGCTTGTCGAGACAAGTCGACAAGACGGCGCAGCCGTGGGCTCAAAGGTACAGGCGCATCATATCAAGTCTCCGTCATACAACTTCGTCCTACCTGGATGACATGGTCGCAGCTTAAACAAAAAGCTTGTAGTTACTGCTGGTATTCCGAGACCAAATCGTTCATCTTCGACTCGACCTCAGTGAACTCCATCTCATCCATACCCTCACCGGTGTACCAGTGCAAGAAGGCTTTGCGGCGGAACATTGCAGTGAAGTACTCCGCCACCCTCTTGAACATCTCTTGGATGGCGGTCGAGTTGCCTGCGAATGAGACAGCCATCTTCAGTCCCTTTGGTGGAATGTCGCACACTAATGCCTTGATGTTGTATATGATACACTTGACAAAGTAGGACATTCAGCATCTGTTTGTCCACCTCTTTACGGGAGGGTCATGAGTCATGGGAAACAAAATAACACCGTCTTCATTCCATTGTCCACAAACAGGAAGACCTACGCACGACATGCTGCAGGAGCACCGAACGAAAGTCCTCAAAGGCAATCCACTTGAAGTGCAACGTGTCATCCGAACGCACGTCCCAAGCACAAAGGACAGCGAAGCTGCAGGGCCACATGCGATGGAAGGACAAAAACCCCCTAACTCTGTTCAAACAACGGGTGGCCACGAAACAGCCTGAAGGTACCCTCAGTTCATTAAACAATGCTGAAGGTACCCTCAGTTCACAAAACAATGCTTTCATCTTGCCTGGTGGCCACCCCTCCACTAGCGTCAAGTGCCGGTCTACAGCAGTTGATGTCGGAATGTAAGCCTGTGAACAAGGGTTTCTCCGGCCTAAAAGCAAGTGATTTTGGACTGGAAACTTCAATAGAACTCAAGAAATTGCAGGGGCCTGTGAGCTGCCTTTTAATGCAGTGCAACTCTTGCCACGGGTTGGGCGGGGTGTGGGATAGACATGGGACTGGACCAGTCGCGCTCACATGTTTTCAGAAAATTGCGAAGAAAAAATAAGTATCCGCCCTCAGTATACTTGTTAAACAAATTCCCAGTGGAGGCAGATGCACTTGGCCTCAACAAGTCATAATGCTTACCAGCCTGTGCACCGCAATGGTGTGCTGTGCAGTGACTCCAATCTGCAAACAAGGGTTGTTGTTCCAAAGTCAAGCCTGCACCCTTTAAAGAAAAAGAATGCAGAATTATTCGGAACACGGGAGTTACTTATACGGAGTTGGTCTTGAAGGGGTCTGTCCAAATCATGAAGAAAACACGTGGCACCGGCCGGCGCCGGCCTCGGTCGTAGGTTTCGCTCCTCAAAGACGACAGAAACAGGGGGACGCTGCGACGCTGGTAAGTGCACAAGTTCTTTTTTGTGACTCGTCGTGTTTTCAGCTGTGGTTTGAGTTGGAAGCTGTGATTAAAACAAGGACTCCTCGCCCCTCTTTTATGTTTCACTGTGAATCGACATTTTCACCATGTGGTTTGCCATGCTTGGCTTGCACGCATAAAAGCATATCTTTTCTGTTGGGTGATTCTCAAATGCTCATCTTTCCGTTATGGGTCAAGGCCGTGCAAACTAAAGCCACCTCCTGAACTTGGTATTGATCTGCTTGCGATTGCTAGGGCCCATCCAACAAGTCAACTTGGGGACAATTCACGGTTCCAATGGATTTCCAACGCACCCCGGAGGTGTCCTGATGAGTTTGGGGATTGAGCGGCGACACCATGCTCAACGTGCATCTTGGCTCACGCATGGCTTCTTCGCTTCCAAGCGAAGGGACGCGCAGACCGAGGCTTGAGGCAGCGGACCGGATCTGCTGAGTCGGGGTGTTGACTTCACCGGGGAACACGTGGATCTGCATGGGATCCCCACATCAGCTGGAACACACGGGGCGCCCACGGCGAAAACTGGGTACGGCTGAGGGCTACAAAAGGAAACCTCAAGGCTAGGCAGCTGCAAGCCAACACTTGTTCAGTCTGGTTTCAAGATCCTTAGGAAAGGAATTTCCACAACCAGTTGACCCGACGTGAGACACGAAAGGCCCCAGTCATCCACCCATCCAATCCTGGACTTGCCAACCTAATAGCAATGGCCTCCAACCTACTAGCGATGGCCTCCAACCTAAGAACAAAAGGAACCGAACGCCAGCAACGGCGTTAAGACGCACATCGATGATGGAACGTTGTTATACCGTTGTACCCTCCATCCAACCGTCTTTGGTGGAAGTGGACCTGTGGCGGAAACGAAGACGGCTTTCCTCCACGAACATGCCGGAAAATTCCACTTCCATGATTGTTGGAGGAGGGGTAGATGTTTTTTGGGGGGGGATGTGTTTGGGCTGATTCAGAGTATGACACGACTGAAAGAACAAGGAGAACCTCCAACACACCAAATGGAAGAAAACATAAACGCCCATATTGCATCTTGCACTGCTACCTTCGCCCCGCTCTCTTCGCCTCGACGGCGGGCGCGAGGATTTGCCATGGCGCCCGAAAGGAGTGTCCGTCCGAACATGAAACCGGAGACGTGGGGTTCCAAAAGGGTCAATGCGGTTGGAAGGGTCTTATGGATGATGGTGCATGGTCATGTCCTGGACCGTATTTCTTTAATGAAGCATCCTTTTGACCGGTGAGCAAAAACAGACCAGCTCTGAATCCAAAGCAATCTTAGAAAACTCAACCCTCTGATGTGAAGCAGCTGCGATTCTGCTTCGAAAGTAATCTCCTGGCGCCTGAGGACTCGTTGATTAGCCTATCTGACGACCTTGCTTGAAATTGTAGCAGTGGGTGCAGAATTGAGTCTGACCATGCTGAGCAGAGTCCTTTTTCTGGTGCTTGTCAACTTGTACCTGGTACAGAACTAGTTCCCATCGACCAACTTCGAAACCTCTCCGCTGTGTCCTTCAGACGAGTTCGCCCGTTTCGGCGACTGAGAGACAGCCGGGCGATGCGGGCGATGCGGCCCCGGCGCCGCGCGACGCAGATGAAACGAAGTTCCCGAGTTGTGCAGTGTCCGCAAATCCACTGGGCGGTGGAACATCCACTGGGCTGAGATCCCTCGGGGCAAACTGGTGGGACTCCCACGTTGTGGATTCTGTCCCACCGCCGATATGGCTCCACAGCCCTGTGGAACCACACTGACCGGGGGGGCTGTGGAGCCATCTCTTCGGGGCCCACAGGCCGTATGGCAAAAAACAGCTCCACTGACATGGAAAAACTGCTACTGAGATCAGGAAGAGGTCCTGGGCTGAGATCAGGGAAACCCTCCTCTATTGTGTTTCTGTCAAATGTCAGGCAATGATCCTTCCAACAGTAGTATTTGCCTCAGAGGACCTTGCATCCAGCATTTCGCGGTACATGCCTTGAACTCAATCGTCTATCGATCTTGATCGAACAGGTGTTCTTCGCATCAAGATCGCGACCAGTGTTCAAAACCGCAGAAAGGAAGCCAACTGCAAAGGTGACAGTGACGGTTGGATCTCTTGGAGCTGCAAATGGAAGTCATCGGAAACGTCTTTCCAGGAGCCGAAGAGAAAAACATCGAAAAACACATCTTCTACACCCCCGAGTAGTCGTTTCGTCCAGTCTTCCAAGCTCCTCATGTGGTCAACTAGACTAGAGTCTCCCAAACCGTGCCAACCACTCCAAAATGTGCAAAGGCTTAATCATGATCTCATCACAGAACAACCTCCCAAGTGATGTGAAAACATGTGAAAACAACATCCGTGCCGACCCGCAAAATCCGGTGTCATGACTCAGGGACCCCAAAAAATCCAGTGTCAAGGCAAAGGCTTCGGATGCGATCCTGTGCACACGATGGTTCCGAAGCAATTCCTCACGACCACTGCGACGGACCCGACAAAAGGGATGCTACGTAAGTCACTGTCGCCACCGGGTTCCATCAGGTTCCCGTCTTGGGACACTCCAGTGTCCAGTGTAACATGTTCCGAAGGCCGTTGATCTAAGGACTGTTCCTGGAGAGGTGAAGTACAGAAAAGGGGAAGATCCGGATCTAGCAGGTACATGCCCTACGTAGAACTGGTACATACTACCCAGAAGAGCGATCTCCTTGACTCCACCAAGAACACCTGATGCATCCTGATGTCCCCCAAGAACCGTTCCCTTGCGATAGAGAGAGGACGTCATGAACGCAAGGCACCTGGTCCCGGAGGAATTCCGCTCACGAACCCACCGATCCATCTCAAAAAGGATCCGGTCTCGAAGGAACCAACACCTGAAACTCTGAAAAACCTTCAGAATGCTTGCCATAGAATTTGCATGAATTTGAAAAGAGAACTTTGAACCAACCACGAAAGGTTGAGGACTCTAGAACTATCTAGAAAAGATTGCCGATTTGGGATTGAGCAAGGGACAGGGACAAAGATTCAAGGATTCAAGGCACCCCCCCTGAGAAAACCACGTTGACTTCAGGAAAGCAAGTGATCTCACCCCCCAAATTTGTGGACTTCTCATCTCCTCCCTTCAACATCGGTCTCTTTCACAGGACGGGTCATGACGACTCATGCGTCGACCGACCGGCGACCCGAGCGTCGACCGACCAACCGACCGGAGCGTCGATCGAGGCCCCGAGGCCCCGCGCGAGACCAGCTGCACCACGGCGTCCATCATCATCGGCGCCCAGGGCAACAGCCAGCTCCGCCGTGGCCTCGCAACAGCGGGCCGTGCGGGCCACGGAAGGGACCCGGAGTACGCTATAATTACTGATTCTGTGGCATAAAGCCATCATCCATCCTCTCGAAGCAAGCAGACCCTCTCTGACATCGCACCAACGAGGCGGAGGCGTCCCCAAATCGGGTCTCCCGGCACTGCCCCAAAGGCCCGATCCAGGAATCCTGCCAATTTACGCAGGAACTGACCTCAGCGCGCCGGAGCGTGCCGCTGGCAGAGTTTTTCTGAACCAGAAATGACCAAAGTATATCAAAGTATATACTTGGCCAATGGCCAATTGGGGGTCCAAACACGGTTGTCCAATGATGGTATGCAATGGGGTTATCAGTGGGGGGCCGGCAAGTTTCTGGCGGTTCTGAGTTCATTCCCAGCATCAAACTTGCAGTACCAAGAAGAGCCATCTCCATCTGGAGTGAAACCAGGGCTACTTGGAATAAAGGTTGATGTGTAGATGTGTTTGTCCAACTGTGAACTAGAGTGTATACATACAATTACATATCATGCTCCAGAGGCAATGCCCAGTGGATTTGTGGTTCCTCTCGAAATACTTCGCCCAAACGCTGCCGGACCTGAGTCGTGACCACTTTAGATCATCATGGTTGTCGGTTGGTGAATCGTCCGACGGGGATTCCGGTTTCTCGGCAGGCCGACAAGCTTGACGGGACACAGGTGGCATGTGGCCGCCCATGTGGACCGAGGTTTCTTTGAACTCGGAACCCTGCTCTCACTGCTATAGGATGATCTTCTGCTTGCTCTTCACTGGTGTGCTACATCGTAGGCATTGATTTATCCCCTCTCCCGAACAATCATCGCAAAGGCACAGGTGGCCACATGGAAATAAAGCAATCTCGGAAGGTTTGGCCAAGCAATTGCAGCACATCTCCACCTTCCGGCGTTTCGCCTTGACCGCTTCTCGGTGGTCCAGAAAGCCCTGGACATGAGCGCCGGTCACATGCACCATGCCACCGTGAACCGAACCAGCCACGTCCACCACCATAAGGCTCTTCTGCACGCCTTTCGTTAAGGCTGTGACGCCATATAGCACTCCACACGGGTGTTGGCATACAGATCCAGCTGGCCGTTCAAGCACATGGAGCTGGTGATTCACAAAGAAACATAGTCTACCACCTTCATACTTGCAAGGATCGTTCAACGCAACCTCCAGGATTTGCAAGTTTCAGATCTTCTAAAGAAAACAAACATGCCCCTATCAAACAATTCCTACGAAAACCAGTATTTCCAGCACCAGAAAGAAATTTCACCAGAAGTTTTGCCAAAAGGCCTGCACTGTGCCAGCCGCGCAACCGTCACAATCAAAACTAACACAAGCATTGACAGGTCCCCGGGTCACACGTAGGACGAATTTCGCTTTGCCGCCTTTGGTGTTGGGTATGACGACAAAGGCAGCGCGAAGCCTCATGGCCCAAGACACCAACATTAAAGTCATCCAGTACAAGCCTTGAACATGTTCAAAACGACGTGTGTGTGTGTGTCTTTACGTACGTACATACCTACATACATACATACATACATACATACATACATACATGGCTCAAGGCCATTTGAGATCAAGCAGGCTTCCCATAAAGTCCTGCAAGTGCGGATATCCCCTTTCGAACATAGCAAAGAATTTCTCTTGACCACGGTTCTCGACTTCTCGAACTACCACACATTCTTTGCTCGTTATATCCGTCTTCTCCTTGGCCACCCCTGACGAGATCTTTGGTGTCCGGCTGTTCTCGCCTGGCTATCTCTGGGAGACCCACCTGGTGACTGGGCTTCAACCTACAGGATACCTCAGGCCAGATCTTGATCGGTGCCACCAAGTTTGCCAACTAGGTTGACCTCATCCGAACCGGACAACTGCTCCTGATCAGGGACAATGACACCACAATGGGGCCGAGCCTACATGACCTGCACACGGAAGGACTGCTCCAACTGGATTTGGACTGACAAGGTCAAACCCAACACCAAATGTCGGCGGTGCGGGAACTGGTGGCCTACATCCACCGGTGGCACCGGGAAGGGCAAGGGCTATGGGCGGCCTGCTTCCAAGGCAAGAAACACTTGGCCTGAGACTCCCCCCGGTCTGGGGAAAATCAAGCCCTTGAAAAAGACAAGGGTTCAACAAGAAGCCACCGAACTCTTGGCCACTAGCTGGACCACCTTGCCGGAAGACACCCAGAACCGCCTACAAGCACTAGGCATTGGCCCAGCCAAACCGGATGAACCCGAGCTGACTGACATCCTCAAATCACATATGGATGCACTTCCAACACAAGTCCAGCAGATCGTCACCAAGCTCACGGCACCGGAGCCATGCACTGAACGTGACATCGCCACGAAACTCAAAGGCCAAGTCACCGAATTGAAAACCCTGTCAATCAGGGAAAACCAGCTCCAGGACAAGATCGATGGAGTAAAGGCCCAATACTCCACCCTGCTGGCGGACATGCAAACCCTTCAAGGGAAGTTAGCTGAAGGGCAAAAAGCCTTGCAACAGCTCTCCCAGGACTACATGAAAGCGGTGAACCAGACACCCACTCCGTCGGATCTCGCGGGGAGCCTGGCGGAGCCAGAACACATCCCCATGGCTGTGGAGTCCTTCGTGCGCAATCTAGGGATTGCCTTGACCGAAGAGCAAAAGACTCAGCTCCACGGTCTTCTAAAGCGCTCAGGAACTGACCCTGAGGATCCAACCAAGAGACGCAAAACTGATGGCCCTGGTCCGCTTGCACCTGGACATTGCGGGTAACACCTCCTCCCATGACACCACACAGGGCTGGAATTTTCCGTTGCCAGACGATGACTTGTGGTCATGTGATGGAACCGAAAATTCTCTTGGGGAGTTTCATGGACCAGACACCAACTTGCAAGCTTGTGAGCCTCATGGCATGGCAACACCACTTTCACCGGTTTGCCGCGCTGATCACGGCTCAACAAGGACTCCATTTTTTGCACAAACCACGGACCTGAGAACCAATGTGTTCGAACATCCGGAATCACGACAGCATCTCACAAGTCACCAAATTGATGGGGAAATATCAACTTGGTGCCACGGTGCTCAATCCTTTTCAGGGTCACCGATTGCAGGGGAACAGCAATCAATACCAACCTCAGGTAATGCATCCATGGTTGCACCAGAACCTTTTACTGATCACAATTTTGACACGAGCTCCACCAGCGGCAATGGCCAACCTTTTGTGAGTTTGACTGGTGGCACATCCTCCACTACACAGGGGACAACTGCGTCAGCTGAACGTGGCACCAAAGACATGAGCCACTACGAGTACGCCTCAACAACCGATCTCATCCTCCAGAACTTGACGATGATCATCGGAAATCCCAGCACACGCTGTTATGCCAATGCTCCCTGGAGAGCATTCTGCTGGATGTGTGCCTACTTGGCTGAGTTTAATCTGGAGCCTTGGGGCACAGTGAAAGATGCCGTCCAGACCTCTCTGGAGCTCAACGAGGCTGTGGACATCAAGGCCCTTCCAGGATTGGACGATCTCTGGAAGCAACATGACCTGAACCTCGAAGGGGACGCGGCACACTTTGTCAACTCCCTTTGGCTTCGCTCTCAGACAAGAGTGATGCAATACAGGTACTCCGAGATCAAGGAGCAAGGATACCTGGCTGAACATGTACAACTTCCACTCATTGTGGACTACCCTGACGAACTCCTGGACGAAATCACATGGCAGGAGCTCATGAACAACTGGGCCAATCAAGGTCTTGGACAATTTCTGGCAGATGACAAGACTGTCCTGGTGGCACACATCAATCGAGCCGTCACCTATGATGGGGTCCTGACCAAGCACAAAAGGGCACTAAACCCCCACGGAGCCTTCACCGTCCCACTCGCTGGACGGGTTTTCCAGGGCAAGTGCTGAATACATGCCAATAGCATACATATGCCACAGAGGACCCACACACGACAGCGGCCACTACTTCGCCATCCTGGTCTACCGTGACTTGATGTGGATCGCTGATGATGGTGGGCATCCCATAGTTTTGCCCTTCTTGACGCCCCAACTGGCGGGCCAAATCGTGCAAATTTGGGCTGTCCAAACAACGGCATTTGTCACGCCTCGGCAAATCCAGCGGGCCTTACCCGAGCCTGAGACACCAGACTATGATCCACCGCAACACGGCACACCGCCCAAAAAGGCACGACACACACAGGACAGCATGAAACTCCATGTTGCCAACATCACTACCTTCGGCAGGCACACGCTTGACTGGCTTTGGAGTCGCGACAGTGACATCCACATCATGGTGGAGACCCACCTCGACAAGCAGAAGCACAACACCCTCTGCCAGTACTTTGAAGTCAGAGGCAAACATGCCTTTGGCCTCCCAGCCCACACTAACAGGAACAACGAGGGCAACCACGGAGGCATCCTCATCCTCCACTCCAACCACCATGGAGTAACACAGTTGGAGAACTATCACATCGAAGGATGTGGCTACCAGGCCTTTCTCTGGGAAGCCAAAGCTCGATCCATCTTAGTCGTTGCGGTCTACTTCAAGACCAATGAGACGATCCAAGGACCAACCAACTCACAATTACTTGGTCGACTTCTCGCTCTAGTCGAAGCTTCCAACAGGCAGTACATCCTTCTGGGCGATTGGAATGGACATCCAAGCCAATTTCAAGGAACTGTTTTGGGCTCCAAATTCCACTGGCAAATTCTCGCCCCAGATGCCACGCTTCTCAATGGCAATGTGCTGGATTACGCCCTGATCCACAACCAACTGGCTCCACTCACATCAATGACCACGGAGTGCAGTCCCCTGGCGACCACATTGTTTGGTCACATATGCTCTTGAGCTGCCAGACGACTTCAGGAACTACAACCAGTTGCGCACCTTCCCAGCGCTCCCAGACAGGCCGAATCCCGGTTTTCGGCCATGGAACACCTACGTCACACAGGTCGAAGACATCCAGCTCTGCGACGCCATGCCCAACCAACCTGCCAGACATCTGGCAGACTGGGCGTCGGTCACTGAACAATATCTTCTGCAACAGCACCCCTGGGCTCCACAAGGGCGAGCTTCCAACCTCCAGGCCGAGTACAAACCACTCACCTCGCCCAAGGTTGGACCCATTTGGAAGAAGGGCAAACCAGCCTATTGGGAGCAGCTACAGGTCCGACTTGGACACATTCAGCACCAAGAGCAC